GCTGCCACAGGTGTCTCTGCCATCGTGACCCAGCAACAGAGACTGTCTCAGCTACAAATGACAATTGATGAAGACTTGCAGATAATTAAAAAAACATGTGTTTTAAATAGGCTCGTGTCTTTTGTTAAGAGCCAACTAGAAAAAGTCAACATCCTGTTTGTAGAAAGACAGCAGATGCTCTAAAAATACACTTGGTCACCGCATGTGCCTTATGTTTGTTAATGAAAAACTGTAGTGTCTACTTTATAAGTTTTTAGCCTTTTAGTTAAGTATAGTGTGCCTTATATTTTACTCAGGTTTATGATATCTACTTTTAAAACTTTTCATAATATAGATAAGTTAGATAAAATGTTTAGAAATAGATATACATAAAATAACATTTGAACTTTCAACACTAATACAACTTATATTCTAGCAAATTTAGTTAGGCATAAGGGGGAGGGGAAAATATGGGAAGCTAGGGTCCAGCGCTCAGAAGATTTCGGGATGTAACGGAAAGATAGCCACCCCCCTCCTCCATAGGGTATGGTAATTGCCCCGTAATTAGCCAATAGCACCTAGCTGTGATGAAAGCAGATGGGAGTGACACTGTGGACCTAGGTTATAAAGTGTCAAATTCTTCAGCAATAAACGCCATTTCTGCCATCCATCACATTGATGTTGTGTGCGGATCGGACCGAGTGGCCTGGACATGGCCACCGTGCTGTTCCTGAACCAGGGTGTCTGCCTCACATAAGGCAGCAAATAGAGATTACTGAAATGCCTCAAATGTCAGTCTTACTTCCTGTAATCTCTGATTTTTTGGTGGGATTTTTCCAACAACAACAATTCTTTAGAGTACTGATCTGCAAACACTTATAGAGAGAATTTTAGAAAAAATATTCTTTCTCATATCTCTACTAGAATCTGAATCTTTGCTTATGGCAGTTCAGAAAATTCATATTTTGCAATGATATATTCATTTAACAAAGCCTGGGCTTTGTGCAGAACCGAGCTGCAGTGAATAAAATTGCTTTTCCACTGAAGCTGACCTGGAGTAGTTGCTTCATTTTATACACTGCAAAATAGAATCCCAGCTAAAATGACCTTCATAAAATTCTATTTGTAAAATTCTGTTTGATAAATATATTAAAGTAACAGGGTAAAATTTTAAAATCTATTTCACAGAAAGAGCTCTACACCACTCTCTACCATTTCATACAATCATAGAATACCAGGTCAGAAGGGGCTTCATCATCTGGTCCAACTTCTCTTTGCAAAAGCAAGTACTAGAGAAGATAATGCTGAATCTTGTCCAGTTGAATATATTATTGCAGAACTCAACACTTCCATGGGCTGATTATGCTAATGTCTGACTCTCCTTATTGTGAGAAATTTGCCTCCTGTGTCCAGTTGAAATCTATGTAGTGATAACTTGTACCCATTATCTATCATCTCTTCCATGTGTTTAATTTTAAAAAAGGATTCATCTCATTTGTAGCCACCTTGCTGAAATTGGGTGATAAGGCTCTCCTAAGCCTTCTTCTCTCAAGGCTGATAAAATCCTATTCTCTCAGCCTTTCTTCACATGGCAGGTTTTCCAGACTTCTGATCATCTTTGTGACCCACCTCTGGAGCCTCTCCAGCCTATCCACACCTTTTTTGCATAGCAGGGACATTTTTTTTTTTATTATTTACTTCTTTCATGTTTTAGAGAGTTTGCTTTTGGTTCATACAGGCTGGTTTTTTTATTTTTTTTAAATATTTCTTAATTAAACACACTCCTTTTTCTTTTCATCTCACAGGTAGCTGGTGATGGCATTTACCAGACCTTACTGATTTTATGCTCTCAGTTTCATTTTAATTTTTTTTTCATTTTAAATGACAGCTAAGTCATAAGTACTTTTAATCAATATAGTTACAATACAGTTATTTTTAATTCTTCTTGCTTCTGTGGTGCAGTGAGAAGTGTTATCAACTGGAGACCCTTATAGGTAGGAAAACATTTTGTGATTGACAGCATAACTGACCCTGCTAAAAATGAGTTATAAGGTGTCCTACATTCAAGTTTCAAGATATACTCTTGGCAGTTGTGATCTCAAAGATTGCTATTGGAATTTCATTCAACACATGGGTGATCTCAGTAGGTACAGATCCATAGTTTGCAAAGTACACAAGAAGAAATTGTGTTTTGTTCTGTCTAACATGACAAGTTGTATCATGCCTCTTAATTTACTTTTGCAGTACAACTTCATTTACAACAATTTCAGCTTGTATTAAATTGGTCTCCAAGAAAGACACATTAGTATAAAGACATTTCAAAGCATTTGGAAAGGTGAAAGCAAAACCACCTATTCAGTAGAGAATAAATGCAGACATGTTGACCAAAAAGTCTGTAATAAATGAAAATTATGTAAATTATGGTTCCGGTCAAGGCCATAAGTATTATCATTAATTATTTATAATAATTTATTTGTTACTAATCATTATATTAAAATATTATATTATATTGCCCAACATGCTAGTTCTTGGAACTAAATATTTGAGCTTAATGCAAATAAAATCTTCATTGATCACAAGGTGTTGAAATCTCCTCTTTGTCTCTGCCCTTTACTGCCAAAGACACACCACAAATTCATGCTCCAAGACAGGGCTTGGTGTACTAGAGAACATCTGATACATTCTTCATAAATACAGACATTGTCTTTCATTCCAGTCCAGCCCTTTTTCACAGTATTAGTGACAGGTACTCTTACAACACATTCCCAGTAAGATTTAGAATTTCAGAGTAGAAAAAAGTACAGGGCAGGAAGGTATCAGAACAGAGACTATGGGCTTTTAGAAATATGCCAAATTTCCTCAGCTGTTTCAAATTTTCTGTACCATCTGTGTCTGTTAATTGCTTGTTAGTAGTGAGCTGCTTTACCAGCCTAATCCTTTTGTAGTCTTATCTCACCTGTTATTTATTTTCTGAGCATGGAAAAATTTTTGTACATTTAAAAATATTACAATTACCCAAAAGAGTCTATCAGAAAAAAAATTCCATCTTTAAACACTTTACTCAAAAAATATATTGATACTGGCAACAAAATGTATGATTTTTACAGATATTTTAAAGCATCTTCTTAAGGGGAAAGAAGTGATTTCTTTTTGAAATAAACTTTCAAAATCTATAATATATTGTAATTATAGACAAAACACAGAGACAATTTTATTAACTTTGGTTTTCCATTGCTTTTTGTTTTGTGTATTTACATATTTTGATTGATTCATATAGGAGAGAAATAATTAGGAACATTCTCTTAAATCAAAACTGGCATACTGGTTTTATTAAACAATATTAGAATATACTGGAAAGTGCAGGATGCAGTGCAGGGGTAGACTTTGATTTCACCTAGGTAATTTGCTATGTAATTCTCAATGTGAATTTTTTTGCAGTTTTCTATTGTAAATCTCAATATTTACAATGTTGTAATTTACTATGTAATTCTCAATGTGAATTTTGTTGTAATTTGCTATTGTAAATCTCAATATTTCACTTTGTTGATGATGCTTGTCAGCATTGCCCCAGTATGAGAAAACATCTGTGTCTTGATGCTCCTTTCCCCACTTGCTGCATTTTTCAGGCTGCTGGAGGTGACATATTGCACAGAAATGACACTTGATGTGGTGAATGATTAAATACATCTGTTAAAGTATCACCACCTATAATACTGGTGATCATTATTTATATTCTTACCATGTAGAGAATTATTTATGTCTACTAATCCTTAAATGGTTTTGGGGTATTTTGTGTCCTGACAAAAATAATATTCAATAATATTGTGGAAATTATTTTGATTTAAAAATCTAAGTAAGTGACTTGATTTGTGGTTTTTTTTTTCCCCTTAAAATGACTATATTTTCCCCTCAAATGACTATATATTAAATCATTTTTTTGCAAAGACTAACACAGAAAAACCCCTGATTTAAGTGAAATGAGATAATTAAGCCCTGTGTAACAGTAGTGAAATCAAAAAAGGCTCTGCATAATAATAATACTCTTATTTTTCCACAAACATTTAATGAAGGTTGTTGATTAATGATACATAAAATTTTGAGAATGAAGCAGACAACTGAGGATAAACTGTGTAAGGAGATCCTCCTATCTCTGTGATCGATGATACATCTCCTATGTGTTGGTATCCTAAGTAACTGTAAGCGTTGAAGAGGCAAAAACATTTTGAAGAGAAAAAGAAGACAATATTCTGTATTCCATTTATTTATAGTCTTCTGTTTTTAGCAGAAATATATCAAAAAATACAAAGTAACCTCTTTGTACTGTCAAATCATAGCTGCAACAAAAAACTGAATCAAGTTTTTGACTGTATATCTTTTAAAGCACATTGCTTAGAAAGAGCTAATTATTAGAATGGCAATAGTAAAACCTATCAAGAATATTAGAACATCTTGCCTCAAAAATCTTTGCACTGACAACCTAAAGGAAGAGTTCGAGCACAGTGTACATAATGCAAGACAGTTAAGATTCTCCAGGGAATAAATCATACTTCATTTTCAGATATAGCAAAAACAATAACTAAGACTGCAGAGACTTGCATAGACTAAGCAAAACAGGAAAAATAATTAGTTATATTTATGTTAAAAAAATTAAGAAATCATTATTTTCAGAGTAGCAACAAAAACATTAGTGAGATTGATACCATTGGTAGAATTTTAGTTTTCTTGATCATGGGATGGTTAGTACACCACTGGGCCTCCTGGAAGCAGATGGAGCTCATCTGTCTAAAAGGAGGGGAAAGATTCTAGCCCATGAGTTGTTATGGATGATTGTGAGGGCTTTTAATTAGGCTTGAAGGAAGAAAAGGATAAGACAATTCTCGCTAGAGATGCCACTGACGCACCAGTGTTGGGGGTGACATGGACAGCCCAGCTGAAGTGCACCTGCACCAGTGCACCCAGCATGGGTTACAAACAATGGAAACCATTGGCAGCAGTAAGCTGTGATGTAGCTATCACCATGGAAATGTGGTGGGATGACTGGAGTGCTGCAGTGGGTGGCTACAAGCTCTTCAGAAGGGACAGGTGAGGAAGAGGAGAGGCTGTGGGTGGCTCTGTACACTGGGGAGGGTTCTGGCTGTGCAGAGCCCAGGGGCAGTGGGGATAAGGCTGAGTGCCTGTGGGTGACAGTCAGAGGGATGGCAAACCAGGCAGAGATCCTGCTGGGAGTCTGTCACAGACCACCCAGCCAGGATGAAGTGAAATCTTCTATCAGTGGATGTTTCATGATGACTACCCCTTGTTCTTGTGGGAGACTTTAACTTGCCAAAAGCCTGCTGGAAACTCAACACAGTGAGAGTATGGATCCTGGAGAGTGTGGAAGGCAACTTCCATTCACAGCTGATAGGGGAGCCTACCAGGGCATGCCCTGCCAGACCTGCTGCTCCCAAACAGAGGAGGGAAGTGGAAGATGTGGTGGTCAGAGGCTACAGCAACTACAAAGTTAAAATCTGTTCTTGGTGAGGTAAGGAAGGTGGTCAACAAAACCTCCACTTTTGACTTCCAGAGGGCACTGGGTCAGAGAGTTGTTATGCTCCAAGCTCACTCCGTGAGTTTTTAAAGGGGCTTACATACTTTTGATTCACTCTGGTGGTACACAGGACAAAACAAAGTTCTTGGGTGGTTGAATAACAAAAATACACAAAGGAGGAAATGTTGAAGGAGCAGCAGTAAGCTGCCTGTATGTGCTAACAGATGAGCTGTCATGAACAGAGTGCCCTGGCTGAATAGGGAGCTTTCACTGGAACTCAGGGAAGAAAAAGGTATGATCTTTGAAAAAAGGGGCAGGCAACTCAGGAGGAATACAAGTGTGTCAATAGATCATGTAGGCAGAAAATTAGAAAAGTATAAGCTCAGCCAGAATTCAAACTGGCCACCATTGTGAAAGCAATACAAAAAGAGGTTATATAAATACATTAAAAATAAAAATAAAAGGAGATACGTGGAAATTCTCTGTTCTTTATGGGACACTAGATAGGCAGGCAACAGAACTGGAAAAGGATCTAAAGAGTAAGTTTTACGAGGAGCAGCTGAGGGACTGAGTCTGCTGGAGACCTTCTCTGTGTCTATAACAACCCAAAAGAAGGTTGCAGCCAGGTGAGGGTCAGCCTCTTCTCCCACATAAAAAGAGACAGGGAGAGAGAAAGTGGTCCCAAGCTAGGGGAGGTTTAAATTGGTCAAGCACTGGAATGGGCTGCCCAGGGAAGTGCTGGAAGTGTTCAAGAAACAACTGGATATGTCACAGCGCTGTGGTTTAGTTGATGTGGTATTTGGTCAAAGGTGAACGCAATGATGTTGGAGGTCTTTTCCAATTTTTATAGTTCTAGAAAAGTTAAAATAGCTGGAATAGTTCTATTCTAGATTCTAAGATGAACACATTATTTCATATGAGCTGAACTGCAATAACCAAGCCATATTACTCCAAAGTAGGAGAAAAAAATGGCTATATTTTACTGCAGGGTTCTTCTGGGTAAAATTTTACACATGCAATTACCAAGGTCTAGCTGCTTCACAATAATTTAATACCTAGATATAACATGTCTATATGTCAAAAAGGAAAAACATTGTCATGAGAAAAAACATTGCTTTGCTTATTAAACCCAAATGAATTGTCTGTTCCTGTGTTACTCCTGTAGAAATAATGTTCATTAGCTCTTGAAGGATTTTGTGCTTAGAATTTATCTCAGTGTAAATAAGTCTCACAACTAAGAAATCTCAAAATTTACCCAGCAAAGTGTCTCACTAGGGATTAGTTTATATGATGGCAAATTAGAAGGTAGGAAAATAGTTTACTTTGGTTTTCAAAAGTATTGCAATGGATCACAAATGCAGTGTTTGAAAACAGTCACTGTACTAAGAGGAATATGTGTCTAATTCTAATGGTATGCTTTAGTTTTTTTGCAATGCACTGTGACTATGTACGAGCTATACTTAGAGAAAGTCTTAACTGGAAGTATCAAATCAATTCCAGTCTAAGGAGATAGTTTCTCTGAATTTCACACAGTAATGCCCTTTTCCAACCCAACACAGTATCCAAAATAAATATGCTAATTAGACATGACGTCTGAATATGGAACCCAGAGGAATTATTAATATATTAATATTAATTTTAATTTTCATATGAATGTTAATATGATAGGCTAATATTAACAAGCTGTGATTTTTTTATAATTCACCTTGAACTGGAAAATACATACCCTGGAATTACATATTATACCTACCTATTCACACTATTCTAACTAGAAATCATCTCTGCTAGATTTTTTTATCTGATATTTGAAGAATGTTACATAGAAAAATTTTTACGGTAAAGGAATAGCATTTGATTCAAAATACAGAAAACACCTCATCTGTTAATTCAATTGGCCAACATGCAATATCCTTAGCTATTCTGAATTTGAGGTGACCATTAGAATCAGTAGGTGAAAATAGAAAATATACCATATTTCTTATCCATAGACCTAAGTCAGACAAACCGTAGTATATATAGACTTAAAATTCACAAAAAAACTTATACATTGTATTTTTTAAATATTTATTTTTGAAAATTCTTGTCCATGTTCCATGGTTTAGAAAAAATCAAAGTATTATCAAACCCATTACACGAATTATTCACAGAAGTCTGTGAATTTAAGTTTATTTTTCCCTCATAAATTTTTGGAATAATGAAACTTAACAAACACATAAAGCATTTAAAATATAGATTATTAATAAACCATATTTTTCCCTAACTACTGTGCTCACAAAAGAAACATTTACTGAAAATGTTAATTAGACATGAATGAATTTCGTCCGGAATTTTAACAGCAGGTAAATGCTCTGAAATGTCATTTAACTACACTCTGTAGTATATTTAAGTTTCCAATAGATACTAATAAATCAAATGCCTTAGTCTTTCTTCTTTCACTTATAATCTGAAACATATTCCTACTGTTTACAGAAATCTCCAAGAACAGCAGTTTGAGCTAACAAAACAATCTGCACATGGAAACACTGAATGCTTCATTTCAACTAAGTGTTTTCTGATTATTTCAAAATCATCCTCATTATCTGCCTGCTCAATGGAAAGGAAACAGCTGATTCTTCAAGCATGTTGACAGATGTCTACTTTGAAATACCTGCTGGGTGGCCAACACATCACTGAGACGTTAAATCATGTTGTCATCTGGAGAGAAGCACTAAGCTGTTAAACTAGCTGTGAACACTGGCTGCTTAGTGACCTTTGCATAGAAATAGTGCTTCTACCCATAAACATTTTAAGGTCATGGGATTTATTCCAGTTTCTCACAAAGCCTGACATTTTGCAAAAGCCAGGAGCAACTCTGTACTGACTTTTTACCTAGGAAATATCTCCCTTTGGTATTCATTAGGATGGGTCAATCTAATCCAGGCTGTAGGGACATTAGACCTGATAAAATTTCAGAGGCAAAGGATTTCTAATGGTGCAGATGGTGAAGTTGTACCATTTTTGAAGCTTTACCATATAAATCAAAATGAGGGAAAATATTTTTCCCCTCATTTTGATTTATATGGCTTCTCATGAGAACTTATACACTGAATTCTTTTACAATTAAATTTCTCCAAAAAGACAGTGCGCAGAAAAGTAACAGCTTGTCCTCTGCTCCCTGGTGCTTCAGTCTCCCACTGCTGGGGCAGTAGCATTTTTCACTTGCAAGAAAATTGTTCAGAATTAAATTCAATGCTATAGAAGGGCTACTGTGTGTAGCCATGACTGTCCCTACCAAGTTTGTTCCCATCCGCAGTTTGTGTACATCCTCTCCAACTTGTGCTTCAGGTTTTTCAGGAACACTGTGGTTTCCTGATACATTTAGATTTGAATTCTGATGCATTAGACCATTAGTACTTTACCTTTACTTATTTTATGACATAACTGATACCTTTGCTTAAAAACCCCAAAGACATCTTAAAAAACATGAGTTGCGCATAGACTAACCCAAAACCAATTCTGGCTAGAAATAAAGTGTAGAGAACTTTTTAAAGTGTATAAAACCTAAAAAATGTTGGGAGAGTGTTTTTATATATGTTACCAATGTAAATCATGATACCCCATCTATTCTTGGTGGAAGTTTATGCTGAAATAACTCAAAATATATGAGAAAAATACTATTTTTATTTGTCAAAATCAAAATCAAATTATGAACATAAAGTCATAAGACCAAAAATTTTTACATCAGCCTATTCTAGATTACATGGAAAAAATATGACTTAAATATTTATAAAAATGTGTCTTTGGCATGAATGAAATTCTAAGAAAGCATTCCCTTTTCTAATTTTATCTTGTCTCCTTACTTTTTCTGTTCTCATCATCTCTGCTTTAGTTATCAGGCCAAATAATATGATGAAGAGTTGAATTTTAGTTTGGAGTCAGTTAGAACAATTCTAGCGTCTAATCCCAAGTTTTCTACTGTTTCTGAGTTTTGTAATCTAGCTAATGAAGCAAATTGTGAATGAAATAAATTTTTACAATAGTAAATTCATGTATGGTACTTTATAGATGATATTGTAAAGCTCTTAGATTGTAAAGATTTTAAATTTAAATTTTAAATGGGAGACTAATTTCATGGAATCACCTGAGATTAATATATCTAATAGTCATAATGATCTGATAAAAATTAATCTAGAACTGTGTATTATTCTTAGTGGAATGTGACACTGAATGCCAAGAAGAAAAAGGTCTGATCCTGCAGAGTATAAAAAATATAATTAGAATTAATATGCTGATGCCTTGAGAAGGTGCCTAGAACAGAGGCCAGATGGTGTTAAAGGAATAAAGTCATTCATTAAAAAAGCTTTCAAAGAATACACCTTGGGCAGTACGAGAGCCCAGCTGAGGCTGCACCCAACATGGACACTGAGTCATGAGTTTTCAGTTTTATGTTTTGATGCATTTACATATTTGGGTTAATTGTCCAATTAGAGCTCCAGGTTAGGAAGTCCCATCCTCCCAGGTTGCTCTCCTCAATTCACTGTTGCTTATGCTCTTTGGGCCTGAAGCTGCAACCATGTCCTTGGTTCTGAGGCTGGAAAAGGATTGTTTGGTCTGACTACCCTGTGAGGAGAACTTGCTAACACTTCATATAAAGTTCAGAGTTACCTACTAATGCAGTACAGGATCTGGAAAATACAAAAGCTAAAACTTAAGACACTCTATATGTTCATTATTATTGATACATGGACTTAGATCACCTTTGAGCTTAATAAAAAGAGAATATTAAGTTCCTCTTTGGTATAAAAATTAGAACTACCTATAATAAATCTCAGCCCAGATTCTGGCTGTGCACAAAATCCTTTCAAATACTCGAATATTTAAACCTGAAGATTTATCTTTGATATAGTTGTAATGGAGATTTTACCATACCCTATCTATATACCATATGAACTGCACTACTTAATAACTTTAAAAAATGAAAATGTGCCTAAAAATACCATTACTTCATTTTGTCAGATAAATGCCCAGACACTCCAACTTTCTGCATTTCTGGGTAAATTCTGAAATACAGTATTTCAGTTTAAAAAAATAATTCAAATCTTCTTGGAAGTAATTATATAATACTAAGTTTTCAAGGTTGGTCTATAAATTTAGCTTAAACTAAATTAACACCGAGATTCACAAAAGTAGAAGACTTATTAAAGTCTCGCTTCTAAAAATTTTGCATTACAAAGTTCATGTGGTAAGGTGTTTTTCCTTTCCTGTAAAGAGATGTAGTCAGTAAAGATTTTAGAATTTTTTTAAAGTGTTATATAGGACAGACACATATTTAATAAAAACAAAACACTCTACATGTATGTATACATGTACATTCTAGTGGGAGAGGAAGAAGCTATAACTTCAGAAGCCTATATTCTCCTATTCTTTAATGTATTGAAATTATTAATATAATACATTACATTGTAGTATAACATAATATAAGAATGGGATAAGAGCCAGACAAAAATTGACTGCAAGTATTTTTATTATGTTTGGCTTTATGAAAAGAAAATAAACTTAACATGCATATTATTTTAATGTTACAAAACATGAAGACTACAAATGTGTTTACCAAATTGTAATCTAACCAGTATTAAAATCAGAGTAACAACTACACTCTTCTTTGTTATTATACTTTGTCTCATAAAAGATTTTATAAATACAACAGTCTTTTTTGTTTCTTCCTTTTAAATTTTCTTCTGATAATGAAATTTTCTGTTTACACAAATGAGGTAGTCATATGCCTCATGTCACCTCTTATCACTCTGTACAAGTCCTCTTTCAATTTTAATGGCTTCCAGTTTCTTTCTAAAAAGGGGGTTCTTGCTGAAATTTATTCCTCTTGCTAAAGCCTCATTACTTCCTTTCTTTTAATCCAGAGCCACTACTGGAAACATATTACTTGACTCTAATAGAGATTTATTCCTACTATTGTTGCTAGACCACTTTTGTCGGCTGTTCCTCATTCTTAATTTTTATCTTCTCTCACTGTCTTCTTCCTTCTCATTTATCAGAATTTTTATTACAATTAAATGTTAAACCTCTGAGGTTCAACTGCTCCAACCCTTTAGGAATTAGAAAAAAATTAGAGTGCAAGAGAAAGTGATTTTAAAACTAAATGGTTAGAGAAGCAATCATTTTTTAAATTAAGCTTAGTCTGTCTTGTGTTTTCTTTTTACCCATTTTGTGCTCAAATTCATTGATTCTGTGTTGAGAACCAATCTCAAACAAACAAAAAATCCACCCCATCAAAACGGATGTTTAAAAATAAAGCTTTACACTTTGTTTACTGCAGAAATTAAGGGAGATTTACAACAGTGATGGTAGAGAAATATAAGTGTCCTAAAATGCTGTAGGATATGGTGGAAAACTTGTGTGTCTGCATGAGCTGATAAGATGGGGAAACAAATGAGTCATCAAGAAGAATAAGATCAATAATCATCTACAGGAAATATTACATGGAGAACTTTAATAATTAATGGAATTTTAATATATATTTGGCTCAGAATAAGGAGAGAAGGCAGCTGTTAAGGAAAAGAGATAAAATGCAGAAGGCAGAGATTTTTAATTTTTATTTTTGCTAAAGGGGATCTTTTTTCCTGGTAAACAAATTAGGAAAGAGAAATCAGAAGGAGCATTTCTCAAAAAAAAAAAAGCCTCACAAACAAAAACTAATAACCCCCTCAAACAAACAATAAACAAGCAAAGAAACAAAAATCTCATTAACAAAGAAAAACCTCAAACACCAAAGAAACCAAACAGAACACTAACAATAAAAAAACAAAGCCAGTGTCAAGTTTAGAAATCTTCATGCCTGACAGAATAACAAGTCAGATCCCCTTTCTCCTTAATCTTTTAACACATTTAAATGCACAACAGTGGCGTGTCAGCAATGGATTGAGAATTGGTATTTGAGAAAAAAATGTGTGGTGATTGAAATTTTTCCTCATTATTGCTTCACAATATTATTAAAAAGGAGAAACCTTTTTGCCATCCAGAGTTAAATTCCATCTACATAAGCCACTTTATCTTGTAATTATTCCATTTTGTGCAGTACAAAGGAAAAAAAGAAATGGAGAGAAAAAGATTTATAAACAAAATTGAACCTAAAACTAAGGTGAAGATTCTGTGGTACTTAAATTGTCTTCCAAGTACATGATACAGTGTACAGAACAACAAAATAATAGAGACTGGGTTATCTGAGCTAATCGTAAGCAAATCAATCCCGTGTGAAACTTTTCAGGCTCCCGACTACTGAAAGTGGCACAGTAGACTCGAAACTGTTTTCCAAGGAGTGCCTGTTACACCTGGAGGCTCTCTGCTCATGCTGCAGAAGCTCAGGTGTCCATGTTTTTGGCTATTAAAAATATGTGCTGTATTTCATATTACTTCAGGTTGAAACTAATTGTTTTGTTCCTTTGGCACAGTGAAATCAGAAAAACGGAATAATTTTCAGACGGACAGAATTTGTAAACAATAACAAATTAAAATTATCTTTGTTG